ACTTATTATTAGAAAAAGCAAATAGACTTATATTTAATATATAAATATCCTAATATTGTGTATTATTTATTTATTTTCTTAAAGTAATTATAGTATATTAAATAGGCTTTAAACATGTTGGTCTATAAGGCCATCCCCAATGGTTGGGGCTCTAAAAAGGGTTTATAGAGCCCCATTTAGAGCTCTGATGGAATTTTTGGGGCTCTAAAGGAATCTCTCCCACAATGGGAGGCTCTATATTTTTTTATGATGTAATTTGATTTACGTGGTTTTTTTTTTTTTTGTGAACATTTCAACCAAAAAAAATCAAAATTTGGACAAGATTTGGAAATCAACAATTTATTTCATAGATACGATGGTCATCCCAAAAAATTAAATAATTTAGTGAGTGAAAAAATGTGACAAATTGAGCAAGAGGGATAAAGATGTTGTGGGGTGTAAAAATTATGAGAGATATGATGGATATTTATAGGGAGAATTGAGTTGCAAATCTATTTATTAAAGAAAAAAAAAAAAGACACAATGTCCGTTTATATCCATTGGAATATAGTCGTTGGACATAAATTTGCCCGTTTATTTCTGTTGGAATAGAGATGTTGACACAGCTTTGTAAATTTGGTTAATGTGGGCCAACATGCAAATGAAAAACCAAATTTAAGGCAAGTATGCCTTGTACAGTTGCAGTCAAGTGAGAAATAGCACAAAAGTGGGCTACAGCTTTTTCAATTGGTGGGTCCCACTCGTTTTCAAGGGCTTCAACCAAGCTCATACATTTAGCTACTACTCCGGTTGGGCTTTAAGTTTTAGAGCCCCAAATTTGCATCATTGGGGATGCCTTTTTAAAGAGAGTTTGTATATATTGGAGCCTTGTGGTGGTTGAGCCCCAAATAGAGCCCTCATTGGGGATGGCCAAAGGCCTTGGGCCGAATTTATGACATTTGTGACATGCCCTCAAGTAGAGGTGTCAAATGGGATGACACATCCAAAGATACGAGTTTGACTTGCTAGGGCCGACTTTAACCATCACAACTAAATTATTATTGTAAGTTGATGAAATTATAATCGCAACAATTTTTTTTTTTTATAAACTGCTGATACAGTCTTTCGGAGTTGAGGTTTGTGGAGAAGTCTAACAATATATAAATAAATATTAAAATTATATATTTTTTAGGCTTAATATCATAAAACATTCCTAAGGTTTACGAAACTATCAGATTGCATCCTTAATTTTTTTTTTTGTCATTCATGGTCCTCAAGGTTAGTATGTATGATCACAAATAGTCCATACCGTTATGTTTTGTCAAAAACTGTGTTAGTTTGCTGACGTGACATATGTATATATCACAAAACATCCATGAGGTTCATTCACCTATCACAAATGGTCCCTGTGAAATTTTTAAATTTTTTAATGAAAAATATATATTGTATTTTAAATACACGTGACACTATATTATTGGAGAAGTGGGCTCCACATATATGCAACATCAACAAACTAATAGAGTTCTATAAAAAAAAAATTAATGAAAAAACCAAGGGTTTAGGGTTCATAAAACTTAAAAATGAAAAAACCAAGGGTTTAAAGTTCATAAATGGTCCTCAAGGTTAAAATCCTTATATAAATGATTTTTTCATTTTTAAAATTTAAATTATTTTAAATTATTTATAAAAAACTTCATTAGTTTGTTGATGCGGCATATATGTAGAGCCCACATCTTCGAAAATATATTGTCATGTGTATTTAAAATACAATATATATTTTTAAATAAATTTAAAAAGAAAACCAAATTTTATGAATTTTAAATTAAAAAATTTCACAGGGACCATTTGTGATAGATGCATGAATCTCAGGGATGTTTTGTGATATATACATGTCACGTCAGCAAACTAACGGAGAGCGGGGACCATGAATGACACAAAAAAAACATTAAGGATGCAATTTGATAGTTTCATATACCTTGGGAACGTTTTGTGATATTAAGCGTATTTTTTAATTTGGTCAGGCCGATTTTTTGGGGTATAGAACCAAAACTAGAACAGATTCGATTTTTTGAATCGAGTTTGACTTTTTGATCAACACGGTTTTTTTCAGTTTTTTCCAACCCGTTTTGGTTCGGTTGATTGGTTCTTCAGTTCCGATGCCCACCCCACTTGCGAGGTATAACTTTTGTTCATCAACCAACAAACTGAAGGAGGGCTTAGATTTTGAAGATATCATCCAACATGAAGTTTGTAGCAGTTTGTCTCAACAACCGGCGACCAAAGTCAAAACAGCTGTGTGAAAAAAAAAATTTGGTCGAAAACAGCCGTCTGAAATGAGGGGTGACTATTCTCAGATTTCCATGCTTGGGTTTCATGTAAACAAGGCCCATATCATGACTTACTCATGTTCTTTGCCTTCCAACTTTACAATAGCTGGATGAAAAGGTTTTCCAATTGAAGCAGCCTCAGGATTTTGAGACCAACGCTTAACAGTCATCATCGCCTAACAATTCAACCAAATGCAGTCAAAGGAGTCAATCTCCTAAATCAATACACCTCAAGGAACCGAAAAGCCAGGTAAGAAAATCATCGAAAATAAATATTTAAATGAAAGCTGTAATTGGAGCAGCACCACAACGCCACTTATTCACAGGATTCCTCTAGTTGTAGTTTTCCATGTAACCATTCAAACCAGCTGCAAGAAAATGGTACCCGGTGACAGAGACAGATGGAAAATACAAATGAAAAATAAAATAAATTTGGACATGCAGATTAAAAAAATATATCATCAGGAATAAAATAAATGAAATCAAGGTCCAGTTGGTTCTCTCGGAGACAGAGACAGAGAGAGATCATACCAGACGCGTATTCATCTCCACCTCTACAAGATGTGCAATGATTTTCTCTGTCTCAATCTGTACAAGAGAACAAAAGGATCAAGGTTCTATCGATGAGTAGTTCCATTAACAAGAATAGATATATCTGCAGCCAATTACCTGGGATAGCTGCGCAGAGTCAACTGATTCAGGCAAAAGGAGCACCTGTAACAAAAAATAGACCCTATTATTCATCAAGATTGACCACATGACATATGATCATTAAAGTATAAAGGCAAATTGGAACCTGTTTCTTGATGAAGGGTGGCAAGAATTCAAACAACGCAGATGCCCGAGGAGAAAGTTGAGAAGAAATCTTATCAGCAGAAACTTGACTATGCAAACCACGAATCTCCTGTAAGGAATAAGACTCCAGTATTAACATATGCATAAAGATAAACCAGAAATATAAAGAATAAAAAAAAAATAATAAACAATGGTTTCCCATGGAAAGAAATTCCATCGCATCGCCTAATGCTTCTTGATTAAAGCAAAAACAAATGGAAACTTCATTGGAAACTTATCACTTGCGGGTGTGGGAGAGATGCAGAAAAAAGCTGAATCCGCATGAGTTACCCTCGAGAGGGCATACACTTCAGGAATGCTTTCAATAAGTCCTTCTGGTAATAGGATGACACCATAAACCTTCAGAACCACCTGTTAACAGATGAGAGGGTCGTCATAAGTAATGTCAACTTCCCTGATGAGTGAGATATACAAGATTCCACAAAAACTCCACAGTAACCAATGTAATAATTTCACACATACATGACAATAACCCATGCAAACAACAGAAATCTAGATACAAAGAACCAAAGGAAAGAATAGAATGCACCCAAAAACCCAAGGTACTGTTGGTTTTTTTTTTTACTTTTCTCCCTATGCATTTAGATGCCATGTGAAGGTTTATTTCTTTGTAAACATCTATAAGATGTGTGCTTATTTATGGGTTTACAGATCCCAGCTACATTGTGGGAGAGACTAAGTTGGAGCTTACAGATTTCAAGTATGCTTGCGTAGATTACTTGGTGTTCTTAGACAGAAAAGATTCTCCTAGTGATTCGCAGAAAAGATTCTTAGACATGCTCAGACTTATGCTCCTACTCATAAAATTGAAGTTATTGTACCAAATTCTGAACTCACCAAATCAAACCCCAAAAAAAGAAAAAAAAACCCAGCAGAAGCAAACCAAATCAATCACCCAAATACAAAACATTCTGAAAAACCAAGCATATATTATATAGTAATGGATAGAAGGTTGGATGATGCCAGTATTAAACGACGCCATCAATGATTTATTAAAAAAAGAAAAAAGAAAAGGAAAGATAACAATGTTGGGGCAGATTTACTCTTCCTTGAAATCTCACCTTTCAAACTGTGTAACAAGTTAATAATCAATTTTGGAACCTTTACATTATCTACCTGAGGTCTAGAACTACTAAACAAAACTATAAAATAAAAAATAAATAAATAAACGAGCAAAATGGTTTTAGCCAGAATAATTGGAAAATGATTAGATTTCTTCTCTGTAAGAATGGAATTTTCAATGAAGATAACTGGCTATGCAAACTCATTATAGTTATTATCCTACTCTTCAAAAAAAGTAATAAATTACCCAAACATTTTGAAATGCTTGAATTGCTCGTGTTAGTGAACATAGATACAATTCCAATTTTCTTTCCAGGAACTTAAATAAAACAAGTAGAGCAGGACAAGACCGATTAGCGAAGATTATGGTACACCACTAATTTGAAGATAACCAAGAATTGATAGTGATAATCACCCATTCTCAGTCTTCCCTGCGGATATAGTTCTGACTCAAAGCTTCCCAAACTTTGGTCTCAAACAGTTGCATCGAAAAATCTTTCCATCTCCTAATAATAGTCTGCGGAGTCAGAACATTTTCTAACTTGAGTCTGAAAAAATAAATAAATAAATAAATAGACATCCAAAAGCAGGTAAACAATGTAATCTAAGAGGAGCTGCAGAAGTAGAACCAAATAAATCACAGAAGGAGAGAGGAAATAAAAAAGGAACAAACTTTCTCATACCCTCCAGTGTAATTTAATATTAGAAATTGTCTCCTGAATTCAAGTTTGCCCAGAATGAGTTTTTGGACCAGTAATCCAGCGCTGCAACTATGGCTACCTGGAGAGAGACAGAGACAGAGATTGGCAGCTTAAGATGAATTTGGGGCCTCTTGGGTTCGTCAGAGAAGAGAGGAGAAGTGAGAGATGAGAGATAGGGCTCCATTTCAAAGCATAAAAAATGACAGTGAAAAAAAAGTTACAGGTGCAGTATTTCTAGAGGCCATTTAACCAAAAGTTTTAGAGGGAGGGTCATTTTTCAAAAAAGTATACAAGCTAAGGTCAAAGTCACCAATTTCCCTACAATTAAAATTGTTGATCATCTTTGGGATTAGTGGCACCAAAGGGTTGGTATCAAAATTGTGTTATTTTAATCAAATTTTACCAATAATTTTTACATGAACATGAACCATCAACGAAACAATGGAATCTGTTATTATCCCGAAGAATTATCTGTCTCTCTGTAATCTTGGAGATGAGCTTGATGGCCTCATGGCAATCGCCGCATACACAAAGGTTCTTCACAACTCGAATTGTATCTTTAGGAGCAGTGCTGATGAGACCAAATGCAATAGCCAGCTTCTCACTATGACAACCAAGGAAATGCTCCTTCTCCTCCTCTTCTATGTCAAACAACACAAAGTCTGTGGTTGGAACATAACCTGCTAGTTTCAGTTCCTTAGCCAACTCATCGAGCTTTGTGTATATCTTCTCAGACAATGTGTGGGACTTGTCTCCAACAAGGAATTCGTGAACAACCCCGTTCACTTCGATCCAACTGCAACCGGGGATTTTCTTCATCCCTTGCTTATTCATTCTTGACCTAGTGTATGCTGCCTCATCCCATTTTTGACTTGCAGAGTAAATGTTTGACAGGAGAACATAATGTGCTGAGTTCCATGGTTCTAACTCAATGAGTTGTTTCAGTACGAGTTCAGCAAATTGGATATGCGCGTGTAGCCTACATCCACCCAACAACGCTCCCCAAACGACGGAATTAGCCTTCATTGGCATAGTTTTGATTAAGTTATAAGCTTCATCCAACAAGCCAGCACGGCCAAGAAGATCCACCATGCATCCATAATGCTCAATTGTAGGAGTCAAGGAAAAGACACTACTCATGTTGTTGAAATACCTTCGGCCTTCATCAACGAGACCAGCATGAGAACACCCACAAAGTAGGCCCATGAATGTGTTCCCATCAGCTCGAATCCCCTTCTTCTCAACTTGTCCGAAGAGTCCGAAAACAGCTTTGACATGTCCATTCATAGCAAGCCCAGACATTGCTGCATTCCAAACCACATGGTCTCTTTTCTTCATCCCTTGAAAGACTTCCCAAGCTTGAACCATGCTCCCACATTTGGCATACATATCAATCAAAGCTGTACCAAGAACAGGGTTCATAAAAAATTCATGTCTATCTATCAAACTGCTAGCCCAGTCCCCGAGTTCCAATGCTCCTAATCTTGCACAAGCAGAAAGAAACCCAACCATCGCATAACAATCTGGTTTCAAATTTTCTTTCTGCATTTGAAAGAATAGGTCTATGGCTTCTTTTGGAAGCCCATTTGATGCATACCCCAGAATCATGCTACTCCAAGATACTATATCCTTCTCATGCATTCCATCGAAGACACCCCGCGCTTTCATCATTTGTCCACACTTGGCATACAAATCAACTAGTGAGGTGGCCACAAACACATTCTTTCCCATGCCAATCTCGGTTATGTATCTATCTATCCACTCCCCACTGCTTAAATCTCCTAACTTACCACACGCTGATAGAACCCGAACAATGCTAAAACTATCAGGAGTCAAACCCATCTCCAACAACCTTTGAAATGTATCAATAGCTTCTTTATACTGACCAGCTCCAATGTACCCAGAAATGATGGCAGTCCAAGAAACCATATTTTTGTCAGGAATATCATTGAAAACTTTATGGGCATGTTCCAAATACCCACACTTTGCATACAAGCACAGTAAACTGGTCTTAACATAAACATCAAAATCAAACCCCGTTTTCACCACAAGGGTATGTATGTTCAAGCCGAAATAAAAATCTGAACGCCTGGCACAAGCTTTTAAAACAAAAGGGAAGGTGAAACTATTGGGCAAGAACCCCTTTGTCCGCATAGAACTATAGAATTGGATAGCCCGTCAAAGCAGTCGGCAGAAACTAGGCCACGGATCATGGTGTTCCAAAGAAAAATATTGGGTTGTGTGGTTTGGTGAAAGATGAGGCAAGAGTAGTTCACGTGCCCAAAATCGAAGCCGGAGCGCAAAACCATGTTGAGAAGATAGTGGTCTTGGTCGAGACCAAGGCTGAGGAGACAAGCGTGGGCATGCTTGAGGTGCTTGAAGGAGTTGAAGCCTTGAAGTAGGCATTGCTTGGTCTCCAAAGCTTTTGAAAGTACAGGGGAGACTCTGCTGGGCAAGATTGTCATAACCTATCTTCAACTGTTGAGAAGTTTGGATGTCAACAACTCAACGGTCATCTTATATGTGCAATTTTGGTCATGTTCATGAATTACCTCTAGATCCAACAGTCAGAAAAGAGTTGTTCCAAACTAGAGCACCAGAATTTGTGGTCCATAATGGGGAATTAAAAGCACTTGAGGGGTGGTGCTGCATCATATACAACAAAAATGAAACAAGACCATGATGAGCTAAAAGAAAAACAAAGACAAAATTTACAGCTACGCTAAATGACCAATCTAATTGAACACAACAATAAGAATCTGCTAGCTTGCTAAGAAACTAAGGATAAACTTATCAAGAAGTCAAAACTTAAATCAATCAAATTAAAGGCATCATAAGATAAACAAATACAAGGAAATGAGAACCTTGTAAGGATCCATGGGGAGAGAGAGAGAGAGAGAGAGAAGAAGAAGTGATTTTTTTCTAGAAGAGACGAAATTTTATTGCATAAGACAATTAAAGCAGGGGTGGTCAACATGGCCATAACAGACAAACAGAAAACATAAAAACTAACATTGTGAGCAAAGCAGACCCCTAAGACGCCTAGGGTTTACCAGAGAAGAGAGATAAAAGATGAGAGATAGTGCTCCATTTCAGAACATAAAACATGAAAGTGAAAAAAAGTTATAGGTGGGCAATAGGAAGTATTTATAGAGGCCATTTAACCAGAGCTTTAAAGGGAGGGTCTTTTTTTCCAAAAATTATACAAGCGAAGGTCAAAGCCACCAATTTCCCAAGAATTAGAGTGAGAGAATACTGAGGCAAAGTAAGAGAGAGAGAGAGAGAGAAGAAAAGAGATAAGAGTGCTTCCTTGTTTTCTTCTTCTTTCTAATTGTTCAACAATTTTTGAATCTAGATAAGATAATTCGTTCTACCCATTATTGATATATATATAGTGGAGATAAGAGTTTTAGAGTGTTAACAATAGAGTTGCATCAAAGTTACAAGGTAATTAAAAAACATGAGATCAACACCAACTAGAGGAGAGGAGAGCATGACTTGAGAGTAATGACATTGTGAATAAATTTCCGTTTTTCTTCCTATATGTTGGCGATCTATAGGAAGAAAAACATAAATTCATTTGGGAAACAGCTCTTTTGAGTAACATAAAAAAAATGAATACCATAAAACAGGTAAGTCACTTAATTATTTTATTCCAGAAATAAGTATTGAAAAGAACTGAACCTGGATAACAGGATCATGGGTAGGCTCAGGAAAATGACCTTTACGGCCAGCACACTCAATGTCAAAGCTCAATACGCAAAATGGAACCATCTTCAAAAATTCCCCTTCTGAAGCATGGCCATGGCTGATCCAGTCTGAATATCTAAGAAAATGGTCTGTCGAGGAAAGATTTGCCAACTGTGTTGCAAATTGCAATCAATCATGAAACAAAGAAAGAGGAAAAAGTACATTTCTTTGATATGAAGCACTTCATACTACCAAGACTATCAATTTGTATGCCCCTATCAAGAATACCTGGCAGTTTATGAATAAACCATTATCAGCAAGCCACAATGGAAACATAGCACAGCAGAACACCATGACCATTGGCCAGGAGATGCAAGACACACGAAAAGCTTCAGAGTTTTGTGGAGTTACTAGTGATTCAATCTCTATCTCTCTCTCTCTCTATCTCAATACAAAAGCTAACCTTCCTTTGTAGCCCCAAGAATTCGGATAATTGCAGCGACCCAGACCAATTAGGCAAACAAATCTCTAAGTCTCTCTCCAACAACATAATCAATCTTCAAATTCAATTGCTGAAAAGCTACAGCCTAGAAGGAAAAACACAATTAATTATTAAAAAACATCAACATAAAAAATCAAACAGAAGGCTAGGAATTATTTTGTTTATAATGGTAACCCATTACAGAAAAAAGCCATTCGAGCAAAATTTGAAGACTGAGCGTTTTCTGCTCATGCCTTTGTTCATCATGGCTTCGGGTTTTTCAGGGTTTTTCAGGGTTTTGGGGTCTGCTGGTGGAGGAAGAAGGAGAGCAGAAGAGGTACGAGAAATGAGATTCCCTCGAATTGAATGGGGTGTTTTTCTTTGGTTTTTATTACCAAACGCTGCGTTTAGGTACCTATACTATACTGTTTTTTCTTCTTTTTTTCGTTTTTGAACATCAGTCCCTTTTTTTGAGTATGCGGTTTTGAAAACACCCTTCCTATATTTTAGATGACTAATTGGGGATTGCCACATGGCCAAAGTGATGCTGCTCCTGCTGGAACTATTTGGGAGCTCATGTCATCTCCAGTCATGGGCCATAGGCCAAATATAGCCCTAAATTAATACAAAACTCATCTCCAACCATGGGTTAAAAAATTTTATGGCCAAATTTGGAGAGCCACATTTGGCCCTTTAGCTCTCCAACTATGCCAAATGTAGCCAAGCTTTGGCTTAGGCCAAATTTTTTTGTGGGCCTAGAGCATGTGCTTTCCAAAAAGAAAAAGTATCATGCGTGGACAAGAGCATGAAACATCTCGTGCAATTGCATATCTAACAACCAATATTAAAAACGCGTTGACATCATCGATTACGTCAATTAGCTATTAGGTTTTTATTTTTATTTTTAATAACCTTTTTAAATATTTTTACATTCATTTTGTTATATATATATATCTATATATAATTGGTTTCTGATCGTTGGAAGTCAAAACCATTGATTGAAAAGTTATTTTTTATTTATTTATTTAAAACCTTTTAAAATGTTTTAAATTCATTTTGTTTAAAATATATATATATTAAAAAATATTGTCTATAAATCGTAGTTTAATTAAATTAAACAATACATAGTTGTGGAATATATAAGTGTTGTACCATAGTTTTTCTCAAAATAATAAAATAGGAAGGGCCCTAAAATATAGTCATGCATGGCTGGAGATGGAAAAATTTAGTCGTGCACTATTCTTTAAAAAATTAATATTTTGGAGGGCTAAATTTTTAGCCATGGACTACATTTAGCCCTATGACTGGAGATGGCCTTAAAGATGAACTTTGGGGTCGTTTACTTATCAAGAATGGAGGAAGTAATGAATCGGTATGGGAAGAATCATTCCCATTAAGATTTTTACTAACCATACGAAATCAGAACAGGAATGGAGTTTATTCCCATTGTTATTGTTTACTAATTCTCATGAATCAGAACCAAAACTAATTTGGTTTATTGGGAGCATGTGAATTAGCACTCAAACTCAAAGGAGTAAATTAAGGCTAAGGCCTTTTTCGGGTTATTTGGGGAAATGGAGGTTACAGAAAAATATTAAAGGTGAATACGAGAGCTTTTTGGGTTATTTGGCCTTTTTCAGGAACTTTTCAAAGCTCGCATGTATTTTTTGTGAATTTTAGAATTTCATAAAATTATAAATTATACTTTAAATTACTAAAGCACTCACCTTCGCCCTCATCTTTGGACGAACTTTCTTTTCACCAACTAGAATTCTTATCTTTTCAATTTCCACAAGTAAAAGCTTTGCTCTTTTGTTAACCACTTGAAAGTTTGATCAATCATTTAGTTGGTTGTGGTTGTATATGGGTAGAAGAACTCATTTTGTTATTCTTGTTCTATAAATTTGGCAAAAATTTCATCTGGGTACTCGTTGAATTTATAGGGTAGTTTTTGCTTCCATAAAGATTCTTAAGAGTGACATTCTCGGTTAGTGTGGGATGGGATGTTGGCAGCCTCACAGCCTACAAAATACGATTAGTTTAGGGTAGCTTAGGTCCTATAATTTATGGAAAATATCAGGTACTTTTTTTTGGGATCTAATTTTCCCACTCCCATTTTCTCCACTTACACTCTCTTTTGCTTTTTAATATTTTTAATCAATCTTTTTCTTTTTTGTTCTTTCTCTTTCCTATTATACCCTTGTCATACATTAATTTCTTTTCACTTCAATTTTATATTATTTATTTGGCTGTAATGTCAAAATGGTCCCTGTGTTTTATCACTTTGGCCAATTTAGTCCATGTATTTTTAATTTGGTCGATTTGATCCCTGTGTTTAAGACCATTAATCAATTTGGTTTGTTCCGTTAACGTTGCCGTTAAATGAACATGATAATCTTTTTTCATTTTATTTTGAAAACCTATATAGCTTTTTGAAGTTAATAAAATACATTAAAAGTTCAATTAAACTAAAATATATCATTAGAGAAAATAAAATAAAAACTTGAAAAGAAAAAGAAAAAAAAGGGCGTAGTCTAATCGAGAAGGGGAGGAAGCAGGTGGAGAAGTGGGAAGGACCATGGTGGAGTGCTAAGCAAGGGCGGAGCTATTCATAAACCTGAGATGGCCTGGCCCCCCCACCATCTTCTCACCTCTTTGAATATATAAAAAGTATAGTATAGATTGCACAAAAAATCCCATAATTTTAAACTTGTGGCCCCTCTAAATATTAAGCTCTACCTTCGCCACTGGTGCTAAGGCTGCATGGGCTTCAATTATACATATTAGAGGTGGGTGCATTGGAGTTGGTGACGTACGTGTGGCTTGGAGAGTTGGGGGCCTTGGGTGTCGGTGGGGAAAATGGTTGGGGATAGAGATTGACATGGTTGTTGGGTTGCTCCCACTTCAACAATCGATGTGCAGCTCCTCCCCTCCCCGACTATGCCCTTCTTTTCTTTTTTCTAATGTTTAATTCAACTTTTTATTAACTTCATTAAGCATTATAGGTCTTCTAAAAATAAAATAACAATATTATCATGTTCATTTAACGGCATAAAGAAAAAGAAATAATATAAAAGTATAAAGAAAAAGAAAATAGAATGCAAGTTGGAAAATTAAGTATAAAGAAAAAGAAATAATCTAAAAGTGAAGTAAAAAGAAATTAATGTAGGATAGAGGTAGATTAGAAAAGAGAAAGAACAAAAAAAAAAAACAAAATTAATTAAAAAGTATTAAAAAGCATAAGGGAGTGTAAGTGGAGAAAAGGGGAGTGGGAAAATCAGCTTCCAAAAAAAATTGATCGAAATTCCATTAAACTTAACAGAAAGTTTAACGGCGTTAAACGTATGTGGTAAATTGCAATACTATATAAACTGCAAGTGGTTAATAGTAGAAATTAAAAGTTCCTGTGGTAATTTCGCACATGCCTAAAAGTTCAGGTCATATTTATGCAAATTTTCCTAATTTATTTTAATAAAAACTACATAAAACTCCCCAAACTATAGGGTCATTTTCAAGTTCATACCCACCTTTAAGAACATTTATGAGTACATACTCAAACTCCCGGGAAACCTACAATTTACCCCCTCCGTTACACAAACCGTTAGTTAATCTGTTAAATGCTTACTTGTCAATTATTGGATTCAATTTTTAATGACATGGACTTCCACATGAACAAAAAAAATTAATAAAGAATTCTTTTATTGTTTAACATTAATTAAAACTTTTAATATTAAATATATATATATATATATATTAAATATTTTTTGAATATTCAGTATGATGTCCCCAACGAAGACGAAGCCTAGCCGCAAACCCACCGACCCCCCACCTCAACACCTAGCTACCTCCTCCCCTAGCGACAACACACTAGCGACCTCTGATTTGAAATTATTTGTTGATTGGCTGGGGAGAAGAATTGGTGTTGTGGGGAGGGTGGGTTGCTGGGGTTGGGTTGTGTCGGAGAGATCGGCTGACATGGTGATCGGACTAAGGGGGTTGGGAGGTGAGACATGGGCCCACATTTAGAAGTGGATGGGTTTTGATTTTAAATTTTAATGATTTTAGCATTTTTAAAATTATTTTTAAATAATAGATAATTATTTATTTATCCACTTGGAAGTCCACGTTATTAAAAAATAAAGCCTAGGTTTGCCACATCATTATTTAACAGACCTACTAACAGTTTGACTAACAATTGGGGCAATTTGTAGGATTTCCCAGGGTTTGAGTATGTACTCGTAAATATCCTTAAAGGTAGGTATGAACTTGAAATGACCATATAATTTGGGGGGTTTTATGTAATTTTTTCTTTATTTTAGGCTTAATTGCACTAATGCCTCCTGAAACTTCAGTCAAATCTCACTTTGCCCCCCCAAACTCAAAATGGCCCACTTTCATCCCTTGACCGAGGTTTGGTGACTCACTTCGCACCCTGCTATCAACTCCATCCAAACTTATGTTAACTTTGATAACGTGGCAAGGGTATTTTTGTAATTTCGTACCCACTCAAGTTCTCCTCAAGTAGAGCCTACTCCACATAGATAAAAACATAATTAAATAATTATTAATTATTAATAATTAAAAACATTAAAAAAACTACATATAAACAAAATAAAATTTAAAAAGTAACAAAAATAAAATTAAAAACAAACAAATGCATTCCAGCGTACGCTGCATACCACCACCCCCATCCCAGCTTACACCGCATACCACCACCCCCATCTCGACCTCTCCTTCTCTCCCACTCTCTCCATCCTTCTCTTCTTCTCTCTACCCCTCTGTTTCTTTCTCGGAATCGAGCCAATCCCGCAAAACGCACCATCTCAATAACTTTCTCCTAATTCCATGGCCACGGTGGCGGCGGCTCTACAATCTGAGATCGTATGGCTTAGATCTAGGGGACTGGGATGAGACAGAGGGAGATAGTGGGTTGAAGGCCAAATCTATTGAGGTTCAACTCAAAACCTAGAAATTGGAAAGCGAAAATGGCAACCCCGCTAGCAAATATCCACAAAATATCAAAATATATATATATATCCACAAAATATGAAGAACTCAAAACCTAGAAAATAAAAGCTGAGGGCGCCGTAGAACTCATACAAACCCTGTCTACACTAGCAAAGATTTTAAATTTTCTTGTTTTCTAAAATTTAAGAAAGAAAAAAAAAGAGTGCTGCTAAACGAACCCTAAAATTAACTGAGTATACCCTACTATAAAAGTGTATATTGAATTACTGATTTACCCTAATATAAAATGACCAAAAAGGATATATGAAATTGTGAAACAAATATAATTTTAATAAGTACACTCTACTAACCATATTCAACCCTAATCAAGAGATTACTTGGTGCCCATCTTTGTGATCCGCGAGTCAGAATGGCTTGGAGCAGATGAAGCCTTCCTTCTCATAACTATTTCTCTGCATATTGATTGGAGAGCTTCTTGATGTTTCTTGATGTGAGTAACAGGTTTCAATCTATTATGTACACTTTAGAATCCAATTAGTCTTTAATTTTGCATATAAGCTTGTATACATGGTGAAACTACGTGCTCCTGCGTGCTTCTGACCTCCACTCAAACTTGAGCCTCTTGGTCCTATGTTGGTTTTGTATCCATCTGGGAGATTTCTGATAAATTCATCTGCATTTGCAGTTCGTGCTGCATCCTCTACCATTTCCATGTTAATTTTTGCCAACAGATCCCTGTACCCAATATTTTCAGCAACTGTTCCTGAAAAAAGTGTCTAATACATACAAAGTTACCAACATAATATTATGATTTGGACAACAAATAAAATATTATAAAAGATTTATTAAAAATAAAGAAGAAAGAAACTGTATTTCGGTGACACATCTACCAGACAACTTTTAGAAGGGTGCTGAAAATCATATGAAAAGTCAAAGATTTATAAACACTATTAAAAAAATCAAGCTGAAAATCAACTATAAAATAATGCTACAAGTATTAGGGTGTAACATGGGTATTTTTGGTAGTTCTATAGGGTGTACTTAGTTAATTTTACATTTTAATTAAAATATTAGGGTGTACTTAGATCATATGGTGCACTCAGTTAATTTTAGGGTTCGTTTAGCAGCACTAAAAAAAAACTACCTAAAAGAAGGAAATAAATGGGTATTTCATTCCTGCGGTTTTTTGGAGGTACATCATTGTATCATGCTTATTTTCTCGTCAGATGATATGGTTCTATAATCTATTTGTTTGGTCTGGTTGGTTTGATGAGCATGACCTGTGCTGAAAAGTGGTATAAAAAACTTCAAATGCAGAGCAATAGGCTCCTTAAATACACAACTATATGATGCAAAAGAGACGAACATATGGAGAAATGGGTAAAGGTTGTTTTCTTTTTGGTTGATTTCTGTGTAAATTGGAATTGGCGTTAACAGGGGTGGTGGGTTTTGAGCTTTTGACGATTTGGATTGTATTGACTTTTTTAGAGAGAAGGAATTTGGAAGAAAGTGTCTCCTTTCTTTCCTTCTCTACAAAGTGGTTGGTCTACCATTTCCAAACTTTTCCAGAATTACTCAAGCCACTGTACCTAGCCTCAGACCCAAGCCCCGATTTGCATGTCCCAAGCCACTGTACCTCTTTGTCTATCTACCTCCCCCAAAATTTATCAAGTTTTATTTTGAATTTAGGCTTGATGAAGAGATGAAATTTGAGGAAATAGCATGAGAATACGAGCAGAAGGAGAGGGTGTGTATCGGGGAAGGGAGAAAGAGAGAATAGGGGTGGCTGGGGATGAGCGCAGGGAAGGTTGAGATGGGGGTGGTGGTGTACGCTGGGATGGGTTTGTTTGTTTTTTTTATTTTTTTTGTTACTTTCTAAATTTTATTTTGTATGTATGTTTTTAATTTTTAATTATTAAAATTATTTAATTATATTTTTATTTACGTAGAAGTGGGCTCAAGTTGCCATGTCAACCACTTAATTGGTGAGTAATGGTCCATATATACGAAATTACAAAAACACCCCTGCCACGTCATCAGATTTAACAAAGTTTTGGATGGAGTTGATGGCATGGGGCAAAGTGGGTTATCAAACTTCGGTCAAGGAATGAAAGTGGGCCACTTTAACTTTGGGGGGTAAAGTGAGATTTGACTGAAGTTTCAGGGGGCACTACAGTAAATAAGCCTTTATTTTATGTATACTAGCCCCTTGGCACACGCGTGTGCCAATTGGTTTTTTAATTTTCTTTATTTTTAAATTTAAATTTTATTTTAGAATTATAAAAAGAGTATGAGTAGTTGTGTTCCCTAAGAGCAGCTCCAGCGCTCTACACAAACCCGGGCAACAGGCCCCCCAAGCCAAGGTTTGGCCCTCCAGCGCACAGCCTCAAGCCCGGGCAAGCCCTGGGTCCCACCAGCCCGGGCAAGCCCAAGGGCAGGTTTCGCCTGTGCTTCAGCCCAAGGGTGGTGACGTCACGCTGACGTCATCGCGCGGTAATTTCATGAGCCAACGGTAAAAAAATTTGACTTCCGCGCGCTGACGTCTCCCCTGACAGACTCCAACGGTCATGTGACATGTGTCGCAACCGGGACTCTATGATCGGTTTTTTTCCAGAAATCCGACGGTCCTCGTTTTTTTGGCTAAAAAAATTGCAAAAATAATCGGAAAAATTCTGAATTTTTTTAAAAAAAAATACTAAAAAAATCTATATTTTTTCCCTATAAATACCTAACCATTTTATTTACTTTCCACACCAAATCTTCATACAATTTCTTCTCCATCCAATATTTTTTACTCTCCACTCACATTATTCACTTTCCACACCAATTCTCCATACAAACTCTTCTCCTTCCAATATTTTTTACTCTCCACTCACATTTTTCTACTACTTTTCATTTGTATAAAAAAAAAAAACAAATGACATCTTCTGTCGAAGCCTGAGGCTCGTGGGCAACTCATGAAGATATTGCGTTGTGTTAGTCTTGGGTGAATGTTAGTCATGACCCTATCACGGGCAATGAGATGAAGTTCCATCATATGTGGAGCAAAATTCATGGAGAATTTTGTCAAAGATCGGGTTCCATTCGGACCGAAATGGCCTTGTCTAGTAGATGGAAAATTCTGAATAAAGAGTTAGGGAAATTGAGAAATGCATTGACAAAAGCAAGGGAGAACATTCGAAGTGGTCAAAATCTATCCAATGAGGTAAAATATTTATAATTGCCATTTTAATCAATTTAATGTAACTTTTTTTTTTATTGCATATTCTATTTCTTTTTCTTGCATAATCTTTTTTTTTTTTTGCTTTTTGCATTTCCAATTTGTCTATATTTTCTTGCATAATCAATTTTATTCTTGTATTTCAAAATAATTTATATTTTCTTGCTTAATAATTTTTTTTTTCTTGCACTTCCAATTATTTATTTTTAATAGATCATACAAGCACAAATGTGATTCAGTGCCATGGGGCAAGGCAAAAAAAGTTTCGTGCATTTCCAATGTTGGGAAGTTGTGAAGGATTGTTCGAGATTCAAAATTATTCCCA